ATTTTGTGATGATGACTTGATATGAAATTATTCTGAAATTAAGTTAGAGGGCGTTTTTGTGTGTTGTTTTTCAGGCACATCTTTGACCCACGCTTCTCTCGGCCTCTGCTCATGGTCGGGGATATTGTTCTTGGTGAGTTTCATATTGTATCATGTGCATGTAAGCAAATGAGAATGAAGAAGTGAACTGCTGCTTGTGAAATAGTATTGTTTTGCTCTGGTTTTCAAAGGTTTTCTACATATTAAAACGTGTGTGTGTGTGTGTGTGTGTAGATCTGTATCAGCAGGTTCTTCACCAGTCACCTGTAGTCGAGCGGCAGCTGCAGCGTCTTATGGAGGTGTTGGGTCGGGAAGCAGAACTTCAGCAAGAGCTTCTACAGGTCTTGGGAATCCTGGACACACTTTTCGCATCCCTGACCCCCAGAAAAGAGGTCGCAGCCCTTGCTGCCCTACCAGTAGATCAGGGGCCACAGCTACAAGCCGCCTGACACTCATTACAAAACACTCGTGACACAACCGAAACATGCTGGACGTTGGCGTGGTGAAAAAAGGAAAGGGAAAACGGAAGGAAACAAACATGAGAGGCAGCTGTGGGAAAAAACGTTGCCCAATGTCACTGAATAATCTTTGTGTCAGTGTGTCCTCTGTTTCTGCTGATGTTTGCAGAATTTGAAACTGTATTTTGTACATTCTTATCATAAAATCTTCAAATCTATGTGTTTTGGTTTATTTCTTTCTGTAATAATAAAACAAATGTCAATTGCAATTGCTGTTTTTTGTCTTTCTTGACCAGTATCACTGAAACATGTGATTGTGTTAGCCAATCAGAAAAGGTGCCAATTTGCATGTCAGTAATTGTGTGTGTGCATTACCTGTCTGTTGGAGGATGTGGTTATGGCAAAGGGCTAATCGGACAATCATTCAGTGGCTGACAGAAGTTAGCACAATATGACTTGTATATTACAACTTCTTCTTTTGGAGTTTTATGGCGGTTGGCAAACAAACGATA